CACCAAAGAATCTGTTATGGGAAAGTGTCTGCCTTTCCCTGAAATTCACGTCTGTCCCGTTACTCAGTGACACTCGGGACAGTGTGGGGTAGGGGCTAACGTGTCTAGATTATATGCTGCGCAATCACGGTTCCAGGTTTGCTGGGTTGCTGATGCGACCTAGGCAAAGTCTAAACTGCCGTCCAGCTTGTATGAGAATACCTTTTGGGAATCAAGCCTTTGTGGAATTCCATAAATGTGGAAAAGTCCAACCACCAGTCCTTCATCATCTTAAAAGAAATAGACGGATTACAACTCGTATGCTCGAGCTTTAATTTGAGCTGCATTGAGTTAGACTTAACGGTATGGAAATTCATTCGTAGATTAAAGAAAATAAAAAAAAAGCAACTAACATGACAATATATCTGGAAATTATCAGTACTTCTTGAATAAGAATTTAATCATCCGAGGTGATTTTGTGTCGAAAGAGTCTTATGTCAGCCTTTAAACACCTTACGAGAAATAGGCTGGCAAAATTCTTTTATATAAATAGCTCATACTTGCGGAATATGAGTAATATCTTCGATTTTAACGATAAATATATGTTTGTCTCACTTTCACAAGCCTATGTGGAATTCCATAAATGTGGGAAAATCCAACCACCAGTCCTTCATCATCTTAAAAGAAATAGACTCAATAAAACTCGTGTACTCGAGCTTTAATTTGAGCTGCATTAAGTTGGACTTAACGGTATGGAAATCCATTCGCAGGTTAAAGAAAATTTAAAAAAGCAACTAACATGACAATATATCTGGAAATTATCAGTACTTTTTGAATAAGAATTTAGTCATCCGAGTAGATTTAGTGTCGAAAGACTCTTGTGTCAGTCTTTAAACAACTTACTAGACATAGGCTGGTTAAATTCTTATTTATAAATAGCTCATACTTGCGGAATATGAGTAATATCTTCGATTGTAACGATAAATATATGCTTGTCTCAAAAGTTTTGCCTGTTCTCTTCACCATTAATTCTTAAATAAACTTAAACTGTCTGGGCTAATTAAGTTCTTTCTCAATAATAACTGATATTTTAAAATATACTTATATCGAATATCAAATTAGGAAATAAGTCCCGTCAACCTAAACTGCTGGTATAAGTACAAATATAGTGAGTGAATATCTGATATCTGGCGGCAAATGTAAGGTTAGTGGAGAATATAAATTTTATAAGGCCTCATATGAAAGAGGTTTTTGTATGTAAATGAACTGTTTCATTTATCGCCTGTAGCTTTACAATTTAGCTATATCTAATCCGACCCTACTACTCGATTTCTTATCTTGTTTCATCCATTCAGCATGCTCACATCTTTCGAATAGCTCGATCAAATCGGAGTGCATGAAGTCTGGCAAGCATCTACTTGTGAAGAAGACTTCGTATAGCCTCAAGTTTGGTCACTGCGAAGCAGAGGAGAAATTCATCATGAAGGAAATAGGTGGGTGAAACGTTCTAAACAATTTTCCGTCCTTTGGATGGACAAACTTTGCAAGAAATAGTGCTTTCAGGTATTAAATTTGTCCATGATATAGGAGAGTACCAAAAAGGTGGAGGGATTTCCACGAATTTCCAGATATCTTATCAATCTAACGAAAAATCCGCTTGTTTGCTTGTTATTTTTTTGCATGACATTAACTAAATGGCCCTTAACTAAAAATCAACCATTTATCCCAGCCACATTTTGGGAGGAAGTTGTAACCTTTGTTGCATGGAATACTAATAAAACAGGTTAAGCGGGATGAGAATATGATTCTAAAATTTAATTTATCCACTTCCCCGTTAATCATAGAGTTAATCCTCTAACAAGCACCTTTTTAATATGCAACATTGTATACAATTTTGTATATCTTTTATAGCTCAGAAATACTGAAAAATACACGATAGATGTCCATAATTGCAAAAATAGCCTAAAAAGGGCCTATTTCTAACATTCCCATCCCCTCGGACGGTTTTAATCTTCGGCTCCCTACTCCTCTTTTCCATATCATCTGCCTCCCAACTCTCCGGCTCATGGTACCTTCAGCCTGCGAGACTGAGTTGCGCAAGGAGGTGCGATGCAATCGGAAAACTTGCAGAGCAACCGAGACTGAAAGGTGGAAAGAATTGCAAAACTGTCGCTGTATTCCCCGACGCAGGGTTGCCACACGCGTGTGTTGTTGCCCGCCAACTCAGGTGCAGCGCCGTTGCCTGCACAACGGTCGTGTTCTGGTCACCGAGCGGACAACATATGCCGCTGACGCTGGGCAACAACAATGCGTCGCATCGTTGCAAAGAGACACGCGTGAAATAGGTGAGTGGCTCTGCCTCCACCGTAGAACCATTGTCCGATCCTCTGCTTCTGTGGCCCAAGTTCGGACCAAAACCCCGACGAAATGGCAACCCGTTTTCCGGCCATTTCCAGAAATTCGAGGGTATCGTTGCGTCTAATTATATTATTGTAGCAAAAAGCTATAGCATCATTTCTAAGTTCACTTTAAGTAACTTATGCTGACTGAATTCTTTGAAATTGATTAGCATAAGGTGAGTTTATTAATTATGGTATACCTGCTCCTAACACGACATGATATGATCCAGTGATTCAATTGAATTTCACTTAGTCTTGCCTTTCATCATGTTCTCTCATCCAGATGTTACTGTCGTTACCATTGCCTGGGTCTCATCACAATCAGTGCTTTTGCAACTCATGGTTACAATTGATCACTGAGAAGATGTGAATTGCAAAACAATTATTGCATCACCCAAATAGGTAATAATAAGTATATATTTGGATTTAGTAGCCTTCGAAACCACCAGGAGATCTTGAATAAGAACTGTATTTATTCTACAGCACCCGGGTTCGAGTCCCATTTTGAAGGTTGTAACTACATTCAACCCAAGATGAGAATGCCTTTTTGGGTTTAATTCAATGGCAGCATCAGTCCTACTCATTCGATTATGGGAACATTCAACTGTCGGGTAGTTGTATCAGACGGAATTAGTGCTCGAGGCGACTAATGTTGGCTAAGTTTTTATTCAAGTATAACTGATAATTTCTAAGCCTACTCATATTAAATATAAGTAGCGTCATCGAGTGTTGTGGTGGATAAAATAAAATCCCGCTATAAAATGGAAACTTGGAAAAGCCCGGCATGCTTTGAAATTCATGTTTAACCTTTGATCCCAATGAACCGGATTAGATTTCAGTCAGAGGAAGCCAAATTTGGGAGTTTAAAGCTTGCTCCTATCTTTATGGGAAATTGCCACTGTCAGTTCCTAAATGTATTATTCAACAATTACTAATCTCAACGAAACCCAGAATTACCTCTCGATTTCTCTGATGACGCAGTACGAAGCTGAGCGCGGATGTCTTTCATCAAGTGCTCTTTTCTGAACTAAAGTCTCTTTGCTTGGCTTAACTAAATATCGTAAAAAGCACGTTTTCACCTGATGCGAGAGTCGAGAAAAAATTTGTATCAACGACCTTTTTATTTTAAGTTGAGTGCCCAAATATGTTCTTTTAAGTCTTTTTATACCTTTAATCTGTCTTGCCTTTGATTAATTCAAGAGCTCGATTTGAGAAAAAAAGCTAATGTCTCCTAATTTGGTAACAGATGAGCTGTGAAGAAAGTTGGGATTTGGGTTACGACAAAGGTTTGAAGGTTAAACCTTCAATGTAACCCAACATTATTGCAGCGTGTATGCCCATTTGATCTGTAAATCCCCAGTTAGAATCGTGTCTACTACGTTCATGTCGATGCGATGTTCTAAAAATGCCCCAATAAGTCGAATCACTACTCAATTGCTCATTGGGAAGGACCAATAGTTCGGAAAGGCTCAGAACAGTAAAATGAGGGCAATTATAGATATTTGGAAATTGTGATAGACATTTTGGGATGGGTTGCCCGAACTCTATTAAAAAATAATGGTCAAGTTGTTGTGTGTTTCGTTGAATGGTATAGAAGTGATACTATTTGATCTTTAGCGGGTTTTTAAATGTTGAAACTAATTTGATAACACCACACCAGCGAAGACCTTGTATCGACGCAAAAATGATGCTCATCAAGCCGGATGAACTAAATTTTAGAGAGATTAGAAAAAGCAAAGCTTAATATTTTGTGATCCGAGTATCCATATGTCATGAGATCAGAATTATTGGGACACGCGGATACAAAATGTGTCTAAATTTCAATGTGACTACCCTATCTAGCAATCAGACAATAATAATAATAATAATAAAATGTATAGATATGCTTTGTATGATTATGATTTTTGCTTACGAATTTCATTCCTTCATCTCTCGTCCAGTTTGCCAACGCCAAAAGCCACAGATTCTGGCCCGGTATTGTGACCGGAAGTCTTGTCGTCTCGTTCACCTGTTACGTCGTGTCGTTAAGCGCGGGTGTAACTGCCACCAGCAGACACGCCGGGACGTTCAGAATCACCTTCGATGTTGCTGTCGGCCGCCGAGGTTCCAACGCAAGTGCTTTCACAAATATGGGGTCGTACAGCGAGTCAGCTATCGGTACAGTCTTTTCCAGGGCCAGTGTCTGACAAAGAAGTATGTCGACCAGGACAAGATTGGTGAGTAAAGTCTGTTTGCAATAAAAAAATTCATCATATTTTCATTCCAATCCTTAAACCTGACTCAGGATTGGCCACAACGGACAAATGTGTGGCCACAAAAGACTCGTCATTTTAAGGACCAATCTTTACTTCCGGAATTAGATTTTCTCAAATATGTTAATAGCACAGAGAATGTCAACATTCGCTAGGCTCGCTTTTCAAGACCGCTCTACTTAGCAACTATTTTACGATGTAATGTAGCCATATTGAGCCAATAAGAAAAGTACTTTGTCTAGACATTACTTGAATACGAACATGATAATTTGGAAGTGTACTCCCAACGTATAAATTACAATATGATATGTATTTACCCAATTTTGTTTAAGGGGATTATGGACTGGAAGAAGAAGAATTTTCACACAATGACGTTTCAATTCCATTTCACATAGCTTTGCTTTCCCAAAAGTTGTTCTCATCCAGGTCGAAACTGCAGTCTACTGGTGGCTGAATAAGAACAACTTTTTGGAAATCAAGGCAATGTGAAATGGAATGGAAACGTCATTGTGGGAAAATTCTTCTTCTACCAGTCCTTCATCACCTTTAACGAAATTGGGTGAATAATCTCATATACAATACTTAATTCGAAAAATAAAGTATAAATTACAATTAGCACACCAACACATGTCTCTCTCTTTCCTCAAAATCATCAAATCAGCCAACTTGCTTTATTTCCTGCACATTTTCTCACTCAGTTTGCGAACCGGAGAGGAAGATTGACGGGCCATGTGATTCCAAGGCGAAGCTCCGTTCAGTGATTACAGTTCGATTCGAGAGAAACGGTTGCGAGTGCGTGAGAAAGGTCTCGAAGAAAGAAGTCTTTTGTGGTGAGCCTGATTGTTCAATTATGCTGAAGGATCCAAGAGAATCCAATTAAATCACATTGCCTTCTGGCCTCTGGGCCCATGTTCTCGTGCCTTTAAATGCAATCTAAAATACAGTCAGATAGTGTTCTTGCTTTAGTGTTAATGTAAGACTTTTACAAGAATGACATGAATGATTTTTATCATTTGATGGACGAAAGCTCAGCACGTTTTCACCCGAAGTGAGGGAAGAAGTCTTGTGAACTGCGTCAACATGAAGGTCGTATAAAAGCCAAACGGCTGCACTACCTCATCTGGTGAGATCGACCAACGAATCTCTTCTTCATGCACTTTCATACGAAATGAAGGTCCCCCTAATAAAATACAGTCCTAAGTCAAGAGGACCCAGCCACCAAATTATTCATAACTTTTATGGAATGTTAAACAAAGGCATGATCGTGTGTTTGCTCATTATTTTATAGAAAAATATAGTTTCGTCATCCGTCGATGAGATGTGCTAAAAATGACCCAATAAGTCGCATCACTATTC